GGGGCCCTCACCCGGCCACCCCCCCCGCCGCCTGGAGCCGCATCCCGCTGGAGCATCCCGGACCCGGCCGCTGGTACCCTGCTCACCTGCTCGCTCAGAGCATCCTCATCCCGCTCCAGGTCCTGCAGCCTGTGGGCACAGAGCTGGGGTCGGCCCATGCGGTGCCGGCCGCATCCCAGTGATGGAGATGGGAATGGCGCCAGCAACGAGGGGATGATGGGGATGGGAGGATGGGGCTTGGGGCACCCCCCCCATACAAACACCATGGGGGACAAGGCATGTGTCGCTATGGGGGTACAGCGAGGAGGGTTGCTCCCCCCGCCCCCGCCCCCCGGAATGGGGACCCCATGAGCTAAAGCAGCTCCCTCCCAGGGATACGGGGTGGGATCCCTCTGGCTCCTTTGGCTTCCTGCTCCCACGCCAGCGGGAAGGAAAAGGGGGGTCCCCAGCACCCAAAAAAGCAGGAAGGCGACATCCCCATCCCATCGCCATCCCCATCCCATCCCCATCCCATCGCCATCCCATTCCCATTCCCATCCCATCCCATTCCCATTCCCGTCCCATTCCCACCCGCGGCACCTGGGCTTGAGGACGGCCATGGAACACCGTGGGGAGGTCGGGATGCGCCACGCAGCCGCCGCACCGGGGGACGGCAGCCGGGGAGCTTGGGGGCCCCCTTCCCTTCCCTTCCCTCCCCTTCTTCCCTTCCCTTCCCTTCCGTTCCGTTCCCTTCCCGCCGGCCGGGGGATGCCGGGAGCCGAGCGGAAGGGACAATGGCCGGGAACACCGCACAGGAAACGCCAACCCCTTCCCTGCGGGCCGGGACCCGCGGATCCCTCCGGAACCAGGACGGGGATGGAGCAAACCCCATTGATCCCAAGGGAACGCTTCCGCTCCCCGCACCCGAGAAGGGATTCCTGCCCCTCCCCCCCCACCACCACCATGGCAGCACATGGGAAGTTGGGGTTCCCCTATGGGGCCCCCCCTCAACACGACCCGGATGCACGTGGGGACAAAGCCGGGGCGCCAGCGCCACGTGGGGCTCGGTCATAGGGCAGGGGCCCCCCCATACACACACATTGGGGGGTCAGGGATGAGATGGGGGGAGGAGGATCTGAGGTTGGGGTTAGGGGGTGATGGGGGGGTCAGGGCACTGCAATGGGGTCAGTGCAATGGGCTCTATGGGGGGGACCAATGCACTGCTATGGGGGTGTCACTGCACTGCAATGGGGTCAATGCAGGGCAATAGGGGGGGACCAATGCACTGCAATGAGATCAGTCCAAGGCAATCTGTGGGGGGTACCAATACCCTGCTATGGGGTCAGTGAAGGGCTTTATGGGTGGGTACCGATGCACTGCTATGGGATCAGTGCAGGGCCATATTGGGAGGTACCAATGCAGTGCTGGGGGGGCGTCCATGCACTTCAATGGGAGAAGTGCAAGGCTCTATGGGGGGTACCAATGCACTGCAATGGGGGTGTCCATGCACTGCAATAGGAACAGTGCAGGGGCACATTGGGGGTTACCAATGCACAGCAATGAGAGATATCAATGCATGCAATAGGGTCAGTGCAAAGCCGTATTGGGGGGTACCAGTGCACTGCTATGGGGTGTCCATACACTGCTACAGGGTCAGTGCAGGGCTCTATGCGGACTACCAATGCATTGCAATGGAAGTGTCCATGCACTGCAACAGGGCCAGTGCAGGGCTGTATCTGGGGGTACCAATGCAGTGCTGCAGTGTATCAATGCACTGCAAAAGTATCACTGCAGGGCTGTATGGGGGGTACCAATGCACTGCAATGGGGGTGTCAATGCACTGCAATGGGATCAGTGCAGCACCATATGGGAAGTACCCATGCACTGCAATAGGGGTGTCAATGCACTGCAATGGAGTCAGTGCAGTGCCCTATGGGCGGTACCAATGCACTGCAATGGGGGGGTTCCATGCACTGCAATGGAGTCAGTGCAGTGCCCTATGGGCGGTACCAATGCACTGCAATGGGGGGGTTCCATGCACTGCAGTGGGGTCAGTGCAGTGCCCTATGGGCGGTACCAATGCCCTGCAATGGGGGGGTTCCGTGCACTGCAATGGGGGGGTTCCATGCACTGCAGTGGGGTCAGTGCAGTGCCCTATGGGCGGTACCAATGCACTGCAATGGGGGGGTTCCGTGCACTGCAATGGGGGTCAGTGCAGTGCCCTATGGGCGGTACCAATGCACTGCAATGGGGGGGTTCCATGCACTGCAATGGGGTCAGCGCAGTGCCCTATGGGCGGTACCAATGCACTGCAATGGGGGGGTTCCATGCACTGCGATGGGGTCAGTGCAGTGTCCAATGGGCGGTACCAATGCACTGCAATGGGGGGGTTCCGTGCACTGCAATGGGGGTCAGTGCAGTGCCCTATGGGCGGTACCAATGCACTGCAATGGGGGGGTTCCATGCACTGCAATGGGGTCAGCGCAGTGCCCTATGGGCGGTACCAATGCACTGCAATGGGGGGGTTCCAGGCACTGCAATGGGGTCAGTGCAGTGTCCAATGGGCGGTACCAATGCACTGCAGTGGGGGGTTCCAGCACTGCAATGGGGTCAGTGCAGTGCCCTATGGGCGGTACCAATGCACCGCAATGGGGGGGTTCCATGCACTGCGATGGGGTCAGTGCAGTGTCCAATGGGCGGTACCAATGCACTGCAATGGGGGGGGGGTCCATGCACTGCAATGGGGTCAGTGCAGGGCCCTATGGGCGGTACCAATGCCCTGCAATGGGGGGGTTCCAGGCACTGCAGTGGGGTCAGTGCAGTGTCCAATGGGCGGTACCAATGCACTGCAATGGGGGGGGTCCATGCACTGCAATGGGGTCAGTGCAGGGCCCTATGGGCGGTACCAATGCACTGCAATGGGGGTGTTCCATGCACTCACCGTCGGCGCAGCTCCGCAGGCAGCGGGGCCGGGGGCAGCGTCGCGGCCCGGGCCGGCATCGGGGCGGCGGCGGCGGCGGGAGCGGGAGCGGGCGGCGGGTTCGCGGGAAAACAGCGGCGGGGGCGGGGCGGAGCCGGGCGAGACCACGGAGTTGGCGGGAAAGGGGGGGGGAAGGGCGGGAGAGACCATTCCGCGCGGGAAAGGGGAGGGGGGGGTGGACACCCAGTGAGGGACGTGGGGGAAATGGGGGGACCCCCCCCCCCCAAAAGCACGCACGGGGATGGGGGAGGCCCGGGCTCGGTAACGGAGCTCAGGGGGGACCAAACCAATGTGGGGAGGGGGGGCACGGGATGTACCATTGGGGGGGTGGACGGGGGGGGGCACGGGGGAGAGTGCTGCGGGAGTGCAGGGGTAAGACGGGGCCTATGAGAGCGGTCGTTGGGCTGAACCACGGAGGGGATGGGGGGGGGGGCTGGACCACTGTGATGAAGGGGGGCAATGGGCGGGACCACTGTTGGGATGGAGGAAATGGGCTGTACCACTGTAAGGGGATGGATGGGATGGGCTGTACCACTGTTGGGATGTAGGGAATGGGATGTACCACTGTTGGGATGCAGGGAATGGGCTGTACCACTGTTAGGGGATGGATAGGATGGGCTGTACCACTGTTAGTGGATAAATGGGATGGGCTGTACCACTATGGAAAACGGTGGGGAATGGGCTGTACCACTGTTAGGGGATGGATGGGATGGGCTGTATCACTGTTAGTGGATAAATGGGATGGGCTGTACCATTATGGGAAGGAGGGGGAAATGGGCTGTACCACTGTTAGGGGACGGATGGGATGGGCTGTACCACTACGGGAAAAGGGGGGGAATGGGCTGTACTATTGTTGGAGGAGGGATGGAATGGGCTGTACCACTGTTAGGGGATGGATGGGATGGGCTGTACCACTATGGAAAACGGTGGGAAATGGGCTGTACCACTGTTAGGGGATGGATGGGATGGGCTGTACCACTATGGAAAACGGTGGGAAATGGGCTGTACCACTGTTGGGATGCAGGGAATGGGGTGTTCCACTGCTGGGGCTGGATGGAATGGGCTGTACCACTATGGGGGGGGGGGAACGAGCTGTACCACTGCGGGATGGGGGGGGGCTGTACCACAGGACCCACACCCCCTTCCCCCCCCCCCCGACAGGCTGTTCCATAGCACGAATGGGGAGGGGGGGGCCACCCCCCAAAGGCTAGGACCCCACCACGGGGCAGCAGAGCCCCATGGAGCTCATTCAGGCTCCGCTATCCCTCACACCCCCCCTCCCCACACTGAGCCCCCTATGGCCGCCCCACCCCCTCATTGCGGCGTCAGGCCACGCCCCCCTCCATGGGGGTCACAGACGGGGGACAAGGGGGGGTCCGTCTCGACGGAGGCGGAAGGAAGCGAAACCCCCCCTCCCCCCCCACTTCCGCTGCACCCCCGCGGGGGAGGAACAAAGGGAAGGGAGCGGGGGGGGGCGGGGGAAGCTGCGGGGATCCCCGTGCCCAAAAAGCCCTGAAATTCCCCCAAAACAGCGCCAAAACAGGGGGATGGGGATGGGGGGGATGGGCGCTGGAAGGAGCAGGATGCCGATGGAAAAGCGCCGCTTTAATACAACCCTTTGGGAATGGGGGGGAAAAGGGGGTTTGGGATGGGGGGGGGATTTGGGGTGATCCCAGCGGACCGGCCGCGATGCCCCCCCCCTTTTTGTGTGCCAGCACATGGGAAGAGCATGGAGCAGGGTCCATGGAGAAGGGGGGACACACATAGGGATGGGGATAGGGGGGTACCCCCCCCCACCAGCCCCCTCCAGCGCCGGGAGCATCCAATGGGGAAGCGGATTTGCCCATTGGCGCCGTGGGACCCGTTGGACAGGTCCCACCGGGAGCCGTGGCCGGCGTTCCCGAGCGGCATTCCCAAAGGGTAAAGGTGCAATGGTTCCATCCGTACCTAAGGAAAACCCCCCCATTCCCCATCGTTATCATCATCACCATCACCATCATCCTCATCGTACCGCGGTCCCCACAGGGGCACCGGTGCCCTTTCAGACCGAGGTGGTGCAGTCGCGGGTGATGGGCGCCGTGGGGCAGTGATGATGCTGGTGATGATGGTGACGCTCGGGGCTGCAGCGCCGCAGCGAGGCGGAGGAGCGGGCACAGCGGCGGCGGCGGTGAGCGCCGCAGCAGAGCAGGCGCAGCAGCTCCCGGCGCATGTCCTTGCTGCGCAGGGTGTAGATGATGGGGTTGGCGGCCGAGTTGAGCGTGGCGAAGGCGAAGAAGTAATGGGCTTTGTAGAGGACGCGGCAGCGCTGCGCGGCGCAGGAGGCGTCCACCAAGAGGATGACGAAGGCCGGGAGCCAGCACACGATGAAGGCGCCCAGGACGATGGTGACGGTCTTGAGCAACGCCAAGGTCTGCGCCGTGGCGATGTCGGCGTGGCTGGAGCGCGCCACGCAGTAGATGCGGCCGTAGAGGCCGGCGATGGCGGCGAGGATGAGGGTGAAGATGGTGATGACGAAGAGGAGGTAGCGCTTGGAGTACAGGGGCAGGACGGAGGAGCAGTCGCGGAGGTCGCTCAAGCAGTTCCAACCCATGATGGGCAACGCGCCCACCGCGGTGGACACCAACCAGCAGGCGCCGATGAGCAGCACCATGCGGCAGCTCTTGCCGCCGCCGTACACCTTGACTTTGGTGAGGGCCACGTGGCGCTCGATGGCGATGGCCAAGAGGCTGAAGACCGACGCGGCCAAGGTGGCGAAGGCCGTGCCCTCGCGCACGAACCACTGCACCGGGGTCAGGGTGAAGGTGGCCGAGCCCGAGAGCAGGATGTTGGCCATGAAAGCCAAGCCGGCCAGCAGGTCCGAGAAGGCCAGGTTGCCGATGAAGATGTACATGGCCGAATGGAGCTTGGTGTTGCGGCACACCGAGACCAGCACCAGGAGGTTCTGCAGCACGATGAAGCAGCACAAGGCGAGGATGAGGAGGGAGGGTCCCCAACGGGAGGGGCCGGCCCAGGCCTCCCCCCCGCCCTTGGTGTAGTTGTAGTGCTCGCGGATCTTGGCCGGGTTGAAGTAGTCCTTGTAGATGCTGCCCATGGTTGGTACCCGCGGCACCGGCGCCGGCGGCGCGGTGACATCAGCGGTGTCGGGACATGGTGAGGGGAGAGCTGTGGGGAGGGAGAAGAGAAGGGATGGGGTGGGGTGGAGGAGATGGATGGGATGGAGGGGATGGGAAGGGATGGGATGGGATGGGGTGGAGGGGATGGGATGGGATGGATGGGATGGGATGGGATGGGATGGGATGGGATGGAAGGGATGGGATGGGATGGGATAGATGGGATGGGATAGGATGGGATGGATGGAAGGGATGGGGTGGGATGGGATGGAAGGGGGTGGTTGGGATGGATTGGATGGGGTGGATGGGATGGAGTGGATGGGATGGAGAGCATGGAGGGGATGGGATAAATGCGATGGGATGAATGGGATGGGTGGGATGGATGGGGTGGGATGCGGTGGGGGAGATGGGAGGGATGGGATGGATGGGATGAGATGGGTTGGATGGGATGGGATGGGATGAATGGGATGCGATGGATGGGATGAGATGGATGGGATGGGAGGGGATGGGGTGGATGTGATGGGGTGGGGTGGGGCAGATGAGAGGGATGGGATGGATGAGATGGGATGGGGTGGATGGGATGGGATAAATGGGATGGGATGGATGGGACAAGGTGGGGTGGTGCAGATGGGAGGGAATAGGATGGATGGGGTGGGATGGGATGGAGGGGATGGGATGGAGGGGATGGGATCTCCCCCAGGGTGCCTGGCCCGTGCAGAGCGGGTGGGATGGGGGCACCAGGAGCCACCCCACTGTGGTCCTGGGGGCACAGGGACCACCCTGCCCCCCCCATGGGGACACTTGGGGGGGGGGGTCCGAGGTGGATGGGGCGGGATGGGAGCCCCCAGTGGGGGGAAGAGCCGGACCCCCCCATCCCGGTGAGGGGCAGGGCACAAGGAGAGGGGGCCCGGACCGGGGGTACCCCAGGACCTGCTTGGGGATGGGGGCATCCGGTACCGGGACCACCGAGGGGAGGAGGAAGAGGAAGAAGAGGGGAGGAAGGAGCCCCGGGGCTGCCCCGGTACCGTCCGGTGCCGATCCCGGTCCCGATCCCGTTCCCGGTGCCCTCCCGGTCCCGATCCTGGTGCCGATCCCGATCCCGTCCCGGTTCAGGATCCCGGTGCCCTCCCGGTCACGTCCTGGTTCTGATGCCGGTCCCGGTGCCGATCCCGTCTCGATCCCAGTCCCGGATCCCGGTGCCCTCCCAGTCCCGCTCCTGGGGCCAATCCCGATGGGGTCCCGATCCCGGTTCAGGATCCCGGTCACGTCCCGGTGCCGATCGCGTCTCGATGCCGGTCCCGATCCCGGTGCCCTCCCGGTCCCGGTCCCGATCCCGATCCCGTCCCGATCCCGTTTCCGGTCCCGATCCCGATCCCGTCCCGGTCCCGTTTCCGGTCCCGATCCCGTTCTGATCCCGTCCCGGTCCCGCTCCCGCCGCCGCCGCCGCCCGAACCCTCCCGCGCAGCCGCGCCCGGTGCCCCGGCCCCGCCCCCCCCCCCCCCACCCCCCCCCCCCCCGCCGCCGCCGCCGCCCCGGGACCCCCCTGCCCGGCCCCGGGAGGAGCCGGAGCCGCCGCCGCTTCCCCGGCCCCGATCCCGGCCCCCGGGGGCAGCCGAGGGGAGGAGCCACGGGAGGGGACGGGGGCGGCGGGAGCCGGGATCGGGACCGGGACCGGGATAGGGATCGGGAATGGCACCGGGATCCTGAATGGGAACGGAACCAGGAACTGCATCGGGATCGGCACCGGGATCAGTACCAGGAATGGAACCGGGATCCTGAAGCAGGATCCTGAATGGGAATGGCATCAGGATCGGCACCAGGAATGGAACTGGGATCCTGAATGGGAATGGCACCAGGATCAGCACCAGGAATGGAACTGGGATCCTGAATGGGAATGGCACCAGGATCAGCACCGGGATCCTGAATGGGAACAGAACCGGGAACTGCATCGGGATCGGCACCGGGAATGGAACCGGGATCCTGAATGGGAACGGAACTGGGATTCGCACTGGGATCAGCACTTGGATCTGCCCCGGGATCAGCACCAGGATCCTGAATGGGAACAGAACCAGGAACCGCATCAGGATCGGCACTGGGATCCTGAATGGGAACAGAACCGGGATCTGCACCAGGATCAGCACTGGGAATGGAACCGGGATCCTGAACCATGATCCTGAACGGGAATGGCACCGGGATCCTGAACGGGAGCAGAACCAGGAACCACATCAGGATGGGCACTGGGATCAGCACCGGGATCCTGAATGGGAATGGAACTGGGAATTGCATTGGGATCAGCACCGGGATCTGCCCCAGGAATGAAACTGGGAATGGAACA